TAAAGTGTGAAAACAAAAGAATAAACTAACCACAGTGGCACTATCACTGAATGAAAAAACTTTGACAAGGCTGGAGATGAGCTCAGTGGCTCCTCGTGTCCCCGGTATTGCATTCATTACTGATGAAGCCAGCGATGGATTACTGCTAACTGTTGTTGCCTGCAATAATCATTCACCAATTATAAGCCAGTAAGCTTTCAGTTTTCTTAAAAACAATTATTCATTAATGAATCGTAAAGCAGCGCAAGTTCGACGTGCGACATTAGCACTGGGACATTTTTTATAAAAAACCGATCTCGACCTGATGCAGACAGCGTTATCAAAGCAATTTACGCCAGAAAGATAAGCTAGCGGCTAGAATGGATATGAATTAACAGATAGACAGAAGAGTAGGCCACTGGCGGAGACGACGGGAGGTGGGGAAGGGGGAGTCCCTGCCCAATCTGGAACTATGCAAGAACTACGACTAGTACCACTACTATTTAGAATTATTTACTTTTATTTATGAACAGACTCGGACTTTCACAGTACTGGTGCCTGTGTCGCTAGGTGGAGGAGGCGCAAGACCTTCAGGCGTATGGGCAAGGCATAAAATCTACTATTCTGCCGCCTTTAAATATTTGACTGAAAAAAGGCTGAAAAATGCTCCAAACCGAAAGATCAATAACCGACAGCTGTATCAAACAATTACTTGTGAAGGAGGATGAGCACTTGTCTGGGACGAATTATCGATAAGGCAGTAGTGAACAAATGTTGTCAGCGTTTCCAAAATCTATAATAATGCAGCAGGTTAAGTTAAAATCAGTAATAACAGAGTTAAAAATGCCTGCATGATCACTCCAGTGATCATGCTTAAAAAACACATAAATTTACTCCAGAATTTAAAAAGAAACAATGAAAAGTACCTGGATGACGTAGTTTGTTGGATAGGATGGCTGACTGATGGTATCCGGAGAATGAGCATGAGCTGTAGCGGCAACAGCATGTGCTCGATCGTCTGGAGAACAGTATGCTGCACTAACAGCACACTCCAAATTTTTACATAGTTGCTCAACAATGTGCACCGAAAATGTTGAAAGCGACCTGAAGTGTTTCACAACGAAAATATTTAAAATAAAATATCAAATCAGCCTCATGAATTCGATGCTTATAAATTTCATATAGATTTAGTAAACACAACACAAAATCCTCCCACCACAGCTACTGGACTGAAAAGACCCGGTAGTATGTATACACTCCTGGCCAAAGAGTTATACAACAGACACCCAGTTACTACCCGAAATTCAAAGCAACGTTCTCCATCGATACAGCTGAGGTAAGTGATTCGTCGTCGAGCGGTCATTCTGTTTTATCTCCTGAACGGATTACCTACTTGGGTGGGTTTTAGTCGTCCCGAAATGTCTTTGATGTGTACCTCTGTCCGAAATAATATTTCTTCTTTAATACACGAGGTACCTCACTGACAATGAATTAGAAAATATATCAAAAAAAAAAAAAAAAAAAAAAGGGGAAAATTTTTTCAGGAAATTTTTTTACA